TGCCTAGATGCGGCGGTGCCGATATGGTTGGGTTTGGGGTGTGGTTGGGTTGGGTTTGGGGTGCCTGGTTTCAAGGGTGCGGGTGGGGCTGGGTTTGGGGTGCCTGGTTTCAGGGGTGCGGATGGGGCTGGGTTTGGGGGTGCCGGTTTTGAGGGCCACAGGGCAGGGAGGCTAATCACGGGGAGCGCAGCTCTTGGCCAAGTCTCCCGGCTGCAGCCTGCTACTGTCCCAGGTGTGGGGGAGCGATTACAGCGCCCGGGGAGGCTCGGGGCGTTCTTGTCTAGCTCCCCCCTTGCTGGCCCTGCATTGTGAAGGGGCCCAGAGCTCACCCTGGGGAAGTGATCATCCTGAAGCTGTGCACTTCTGCACCTGACTTGTATCCGTCTCCAGAGGCATCTACGTGGCAGCCATGCCCAGCACCAGATCCCAGACCCAGGCTGCGATTGACTTCCCCCGGAGGAAACATCCCAGGACGCCTGGCGGACCCCCTGGGGATTGCAAAGATGCCCCATCGATCTCATCCCAGGAGAAGGTCCTGCCACTGAGCCCCCGCAAGCGCCTAGGTGAGATACTGCTGGGGTACTTACTCCCCCCCCCCCATCCCTGCTGGGACTGAACCCTAATAAGAGTTCAGGGTTCCTGGCTCCCAGCTCTACATTTGGCGCTCACAGTTCCCACAGGCATTACCAGGCTGTGTTACCCCTGCACCTGCGACAGCAGGCCTTTCTTTTCCATCTGAAAAAAGGAGGGATTGTGATTGCCAAATGCCTGAGAACTTGGTTCTTGGGTAGCAAATAGCTACCTGGGTAGTCAAGGGTGGACCCATGGGCTAGGCCCAGTTCTCTGGGGATAGAAATGTTACATCTCCTCCTGTCCAGAATCCAAAGACTTGTCAGCACTAGAAAGTTTTGCCCCTTTTACCTATGCCGGTATCGTTTCAGAGGGGTAGCCATGTGAGTCTGTAACTGGAAAAAAAAACAATGAATAGTTCTACAGCACCTTCGAGACTAACAAAAAACGTAGACGGGATCATGAGCTTTCGTGGGCACAACCCATTTCTTCACATGAATAGAGTTAAGGGATCCAAGGTACAAATAAATAGCAGACACAGAGGGGATGGGGAGGG